TATTATAAAATGGCATTCAGTCATATAATGCATCATTTTCTTTTAGACACAGATATTATCAACTCAAAAACAATTTACAACTTGCATATATCTATGTGGCCAGCACAACTTACACAACTTGTAAGCTACTGTTTAAGTAACTAATAGGTGTATCTGTTCTTGGAGGACTGTGGTATAAGTCTAAGAGAAGAGTTTAATAAAATATTCATCTTTTTTTAAGATTTGTAAAAATAAGTGTCTCATAAATATCTTATTTCATAACTTTTCCATGTCTTATTTTTAGACACAATATATCATTGTTTCAAAAAATGATAAATAATATGCAGACCTGGAAGAAAAGTACAGCCTCCATTTCTAAACCATACTCAAAATGACACTACTTTCTACCTGGGCTGAACTCTCCTACAAAGGCACACAGGCAGGAAAGTACTATAGACACTGAGGAAATTCAAGCCATTAAAACGTCTGCTGAGGCACTAAGTTTTGCTTTTGCTAGTTTGGCATGGTCCTCTGTGAGCAGTTGTCCTAGATACAAAAATCACAAAAGGGACTAATTCCCCAGGGATGAAGCAGAAGTGACAGGTTTTGTTTGTCTTTGGAAACCTCAGAATACTTTTTCAACACTGGCTTCCTGATCTTTGAAATGGAGCAAATCTTCATAGTCTGGAGATGATTTTTGTACCAGAGGACATGCTTGAATATAATTTTTTTTTTGGGGGGAGTGTGTGTTTCTTAAATGGTAACCTTGACATATTAAATGTGTCACCTCTCTCAATTAAACTAGGTGTCATTCTTAGTATTGTAATGGCTGAAACAAAGTAGAATATAGAAGATTTTTCACGTCAGTGGAAGTGGTAGAGCCAGAAAATGAATTGGATTTCTTTTAGATGAATCTTTTATGGATCGGCAGATTTATTCAGTTACTCAAAAAGCAGTTAACATTCCATTAGCAACAAACTATTATCTGTGTCAGCAATAGGACGTTCTTCAATCATTTTAGTGCAAGAAGTGACTTAAGAAAAAATGCAATTATTGAATATCTAAGAAGCAAATAAATACTGAGGCAAAACTAGGTCATTTTTCTTATAGAATTATGAACATTATCTTTGACTCTTCTTCATTTAATCAAAACATTTGGCTGTTTCATTTTTGCAAGTCTGTGATCAGGAAAGATGAAATGATTTCTTAAAAAGAACAATAAAGCTAATATTTTTACAAAGTTCATAACAATAATTTCAGTAACAAACGCTTGGAGCTATTGTACGAAGATGATGGGAGATGTTCTTTGGGATTTCCCAAGCCCATATTGTGGGAAAGGGGCATTACCAGACATGAAAAGAAGCCTGGCCTCAAATGCCAGGGAATCTTGGAGAGGCCAGAGTTCACAGGATTATTAATGTGGTGCACCCTTCAACTTGTCTATGTTGGGGCTTAACCTCGGCCCCTACATTTTAGACTTTCTCTTGGTATTGACAAAATGGAAGCAGATAGTAGAAAAATTCCATGCTGTTAGTCATGCTGGAGTCAGCTTTCCACAGAATAGAGGGGTTCATAGCACTGAGCACCTTTTGACTTTTGAAATAAATGGATGACAAGGATGCTGAAGGAAACTGAAAGCATCCATGTTATTTTTTTTCTCTGAGTTAATTAAATAAATCTGAAACTAGACATTTTTCTCTTAGAGTAAATGTATTTATTCCTTTTCCTCCCAAAAAGTACAACTAAAACACATACACACACACAGAGATGGAGAGAAGGCAGCAGACTGGCTAAGGACAACCTTGGAACTCAAGAAAGAACCAGGAAAAGGTGAACCTAGCAGACAAAAAACAGATAATAACTTCTCTACTCCAGCCAAACACCATAGAAAAACAGTGGTCTTACACTTGTTAAAGCCAAATGGAGGCCTAGACCTTTATATTCACACTTGCAATGCTGTAATGAAGTACCACAACACCCCCTCCCCTCCAGGGTAGTATCAGAGAAGGTTGAGTAGGGGGCAGG